CCGGTCGGGAGGCTCTGCGGGGTTCCGTCAGATGCACACTTTCTTGTAAAAGTCTACGGCGCCTTAGTTCTGACCCATTTCGGGTTGTCTGCGATGGGAGGCAGTGACCCAGGCTTGTTTTTCTATGCGAATTTACAGTTCTGAGTGCCACTTGGTGGACAGACTATTTTTCTGCATTACTTTACTTGGAACTTTCTTTTTCTCGGGTGAGTGTGAGTCTCTTTGGACGAGCCCCTCAGTCTCAGTGGCCTGTGCTTCACCCCGTGGCCAGTACCTGAGCTCTGGACTTGAAAGTTAGCTCGAGATGCCGCGCTCCCCCGGCTTGCTCTCGCTTTACGTGTAAGCCCTTCTGAGACCGTGGTCTGTCCTACACAGCTGAGTGCCAGCGGTCCGTTTTCTCATCAAAGCTCGCGGAGATGGCCTAGGGGCCGCCCGGCTGTCTGACGGTCGCAGCGTGCACGGAGCCGGTGGCTCGCCCTCGCAGCCCTGTCGGCCGGTGCTGCTGGTTCTCTGCCACGTCGCAGCCCCTGTGCAGACCGTGCGCGTCTGCTGCTGGCTCTGCCTCCGGGTTCTGTGTCGCTGCTGTTGCGGCGTAGCTTTGATCGGGCACTGTTGCGTCGTGGCCTCAGTCTCCAGGCACCACAAGGGACAGAGAGCCGGCACAGGGTAGTTATCAAGAAACTGCTCAGCGAGTGTTTCCGGCCACGAGGTCTGGGGTCATTTACTCGGCCCTCTGGTGCCTTTTGCTGTGAAGAGTCTTTAGGTGGATCTTGTGGTTTTGAGGACTCAAGGGTGGAGTGCAGGCTTCGGCGTGGAATTGCAGAGGCCCTGGGGCCGGTCGCCCATTCCTGAGGCTTCTGTCTTCGTCCAGGCCTCTGCGTCCTGTGCCCCAATAGCAACAACTCCCTCCTGGCCTTTCCGGGCACGCACACAGGCCACGTGCAGCTCGTGGACCTGGCCAGCACCGAGAAGCCGCCCGTGGACATCCCGGCACATGAGGGTGTCCTGAGCTGCATCGCTCTCAACCTGCAGGGAACAAGAATCGCAACCGCGTCTGAGAAAGTGAGTTTCCTGCCTTGGGGATGTGGGCACCTTGGACTGCGGCATTGCGGAGAGACCTGGCGGTTACCTTGGGGCGGCCATGGCTTTGCTGAGGGTCTGCCCTGGGGCTGGTTTTAGTTCCAGTTCTTTGCAAACTAGTATGTTATAGAAGACGGTAAAAGTAAGTTGTTTCTAAAAACAGAAAGAAAGAAACAAGACAAAAGCAAGTACGAGCCCTGGCTCCTTGTGCTGGAGTCGGCAGGTCACGGCCTGGAACGTCTCAGCTTCGTGCTGCTGGGCTGCCGTGCCACCTGCTAGCCCTGCCGTTTTTAATGGATTGTTTACAGAGTTTTGACTTTTACCCCAGTCTTCCCGAGGGCCGTGCTCCTCACAGAAGCAGGGAAAGGAGGAAGCCGCTCCGTGGAGCAGGGTCATGCCTCACGCCTTGCTCCACCTCTCCCTTTGTGGGATTTCGGACACATGCACACGCACACGCTGTGCTTTCCAGCTGCCAAGTCCAGAACCCGGACCGTGCGGTTGGCCACGTGGGAGCAGCGGCCTCAGCTGCCCAGTGCGCTGGGCGGACATGGCCGCTCGGCAGGCTCTGCAGGGTTCCGTCAGATGCACACTTTCTTGTAAAAGTCTACGGCGCCTTAGTTCTGACCCATTTCGGGTTGTCTGCGATGGGAGGCAGTGACCCAGGCTTGTTTTTCTATGCGAATTTACAGTTCTGAGTGCCACTTGGTGGACAGACTATTTTTCTGCATTACTTTACTTGGAACTTTCTTTTTCTCGGGTGAGTGTGAGTCTCTTTGGACGAGCCCCTCAGTCTCAGTGGCCTGTGCTTCACCCCGTGGCCAGTACCTGAGCTCTGGACTTGAAAGTTAGCTCGAGATGCCGCGCTCCCCCGGCTTGCTCTCGCTTTACGTGTAAGCCCTTCTGAGACCGTGGTCTGTCCTACACAGCTGAGTGCCAGCGGTCCGTTTTCTCATCAAAGCTCGCGGAGATGGCCTAGGGGCCGCCCGGCTGTCTGACGGTCGCAGCGTGCACGGAGCCGGTGGCTCGCCCTCGCAGCCCTGTCGGCCGGTGCTGCTGGTTCTCTGCCACGTCGCAGCCCCTGTGCAGACCGTGCGCGTCTGCTGCTGGCTCTGCCTCCGGGTTCTGTGTCGCTGCTGTTGCGGCGTAGCTTTGATCGGGCACTGTTGCGTCGTGGCCTCAGTCTCCAGGCACCACAAGGGACAGAGAGCCGGCACAGGGTAGTTATCAAGAAACTGCTCAGCGAGTGTTTCCGGCCACGAGGTCTGGGGTCATTTACTCGGCCCTCTGGTGCCTTTTGCTGTGAAGAGTCTTTAGGTGGATCTTGTGGTTTTGAGGACTCAAGGGTGGAGTGCAGGCTTCGGCGTGGAATTGCAGAGGCCCTGGGGCCGGTCGCCCATTCCTGAGGCTTCTGTCTTCGTCCAGGCCTCTGCGTCCTGTGCCCCAATAGCAACAACTCCCTCCTGGCCTTTCCGGGCACGCACACAGGCCACGTGCAGCTCGTGGACCTGGCCAGCACCGAGAAGCCGCCCGTGGACATCCCGGCACATGAGGGTGTCCTGAGCTGCATCGCTCTCAACCTGCAGGGAACAAGAATCGCAACCGCGTCTGAGAAAGTGAGTTTCCTGCCTTGGGGATGTGGGCACCTTGGACTGCGGCATTGCGGAGAGACCTGGCGGTTACCTTGGGGCGGCCATGGCTTTGCTGAGGGTCTGCCCTGGGGCTGGTTTTAGTTCCAGTTCTTTGCAAACTAGTATGTTATAGAAGACGGTAAAAGTAAGTTGTTTCTAAAAACAGAAAGAAAGAAACAAGACAAAAGCAAGTACGAGCCCTGGCTCCTTGTGCTGGAGTCGGCAGGTCACGGCCTGGAACGTCTCAGCTTCGTGCTGCTGGGCTGCCGTGCTTGCAGCCTGGAGGGAGGGTGCACTGGTCCCTGCCTGGCCGCGGGTCCTCACCTGTTCACCTGATGCTTGCCGTTAAGTGTTGGCGTATGACCGTGGTGTAATTTCAGGGACCAGCAGTTGGCCTAATGGCTATGTCGCTGAACTCCCATGTAGTCAACTGCGGTTCGAGTCCCAGACCTGGTGGCTTAAACTCACACCGGGCGCGTGTGCGTGTGTGCCCAAGATCCCTAGAGGAGAATGGAGGAGAAGGGATTACGGCGTGGCCATCCCCTCTGGGGGGTGATTTCTCACTTTCTGTCTCTCTGTCTCTCACTTGCTGTCTGGTGAGCTCACACTTTCTACAGCAAAAGTTTCTTTAAAAAACAAAACATATAATTCCAAATTTGAGGTGCTTTTTGCTTACTTTGGCCTGAGTTAGTTCAGATCTTATATTTAAAGACTTGGGGTGTCTTGCTGTAGCTGTCATCGCCCATGGCGGCTCCGGCAGCACGGGGAGATGTCCTCCTCCCCTGGTCGCCGAGGTCATGACCAGTTGTCTGAGGATAGCTGGGATGTGTCATTTGGAATGTGGTGCCACCAGAACAGCTTCTACATGAAACTCTCACGGGGCCGTACAGTCTCAGTGTGGCCTTCGTCCTCGCTGCCAGTGGACGCCTGCGACAGCGTGCAGCCTGCAGGTTTTTGGAAACAGAGTCCCAGGTTCAGACGTGGCTTGTGCTTGCCCCGGTCCAGCAGCTCCTTCCATGGCACACAGTGTAGCTGGATCCAAGCTCAAGGTCCTGGCCCCCTGCAGGCCGGGCCTGCCGCGTCCCTGGGAGTGGAGCCGCTGGCGGGGGCAGGCCAGGCGCTGAGGTGGCCCTCTGTGGGGGCTGTGGCGGGGTTCATTTCTCCCAGCATTCAGAATCAGCACAAAACCGTGTTCGTTTGGGGGCGAGGTTGAACTGTTCTAGAAGGTTCCCAGCTGTCCCCCGAGAGGTGGCGCGGTGGCGGCAGGTCGCTGGCCAACCTCTGCGGGTGGCCGGGCCCGACCCGGGGGGGGGGCCTGGAAAAAAAACCCCGGGGGGCGCCGTGGGCAGGCCCGGCCTGGCCTGGGCCTTCTGGCAGGTACTGCACGGACAGCAGGTCCAGTCCGCGCCGCCCTGTTGGGACAGCCTCTCCTGCCCTCGCAGTCGGAGCAGCCATTCCCGGGGTAGCGCTGAGTCATCGGGTGGAGGGAGAAGTTGGGTTTCAGTGATGCGGGTGTGCGTCTGCGCGTGTAAGTCGTTTCGGAAGGCTGCGGCGTGAACGGTAATGAAACGCTTCACTGTCTCTCCAAGGGGACTCTTATAAGAATATTTGAGACCTCGTCAGGGCATTTAATCCAGGAGCTGCGGAGAGGCTCCCAGGCAGCCAACATTTACTGGTAAGCTCCCCAGACGCCATTTCCTGGGGCAGGCGTGGGAGGCCTCGGGTCCGCGCGGTTCGGGCGGGGTCCAGCTGTTTTCATGACCACTAGCTTTACTTTCAGCTTTTATTACGGAGGATATACACAGAGAAGGAGGGGCTGTTGTAGTCAGCCACTGCGAGCCGCGTCCCGCGCTGGCTCTCCCCTCCTCGCCCGCCAACCTCCTTCCTGTGATATTCAAACGCAGGAGCCCACGTGGCCGGTGTGGCCACTGCATTCCATCTGTGAGAAGTTGCAGTGCTTCCTGCCACGTGTGTCCCGGCACCGCAGGTCTAAGGCACTGGGGTGCCCGGTCCCGCATGGCAGGGTCTCTGTCCGTGGCAAGGCCAGCTGACTCGGCACCCTTCTGGGTCTGTGGCCCCTGTGGTGCTAGGCAGTCCTGGGCCTGGGGGTGAAGACATACCGGCCACCAACGCAGTGGACAGGCTGGGTAGCCTGGGCCCAGCACAGCTCCCGGGCCAGGGCCTGCCTCCGCCCAGGCCCTGACCTTCACACCGATTGCTCAGCACCTCCTTCCTGGCAGTGCCCCCCCATCGGCGCTGGTCCCCTAAGCAGTCGCCCGCGATGCTGCTCCTGGGCTGGGACCTCTTGCTCTATAGGAAGGCTGTGGGCTTGTTAGAGGAAGAGGGTTTTTAAAACTGCCCTGGACACGGGAGGTTGAGGTCTTCCCTCGCGTCCACCTGGAGCTCGAGCCCCGCCTGTCTCTGCAGCATCAACTTCAATCAGGATGCCTCCCTCATCTGCGTGTCCAGTGACCATGGGACCGTGCATGTGTTTGCAGCCGAAGATCCCAAAAGGAATAAACAGTCCAGGTCGGTTTCAGGAAGCCTGGTGGGCGGCCCAGCTGGGAGGCTGGGCTAGGATTCAGAGTGGACACAGTATGAGTATTAAGTCAAGGTGGGGCTTTTCCTTTTTTGGGGGGATGGGAGACTTTGCTGTAGGGCAGGTGTGCCGGGGTGGGGGGACTAAGTGAGAAGCCCCCCAGGTGGCCTGTGCCCAGCCTGAGTGTCAGGTCACTGAGTCTGGAACTCACACTGCGGTCAGCCACCTGCGAGTCCAGCGCCTTAACCACCCTTGAGTTGCTGGCTCCAGCCTTTTTTTTTTTAAGTTTGCTATAGTGTGCTGCACCTGCCAGAGACAGAGAGAGAAGGAAGGGAGCGCGTCAGAGGCAGCCCTGGGGACGGCCGCACTGCGGTCCTCCGTCCTCTGTCCTCCTCGTAGGATTCTGGGCACGCATGCACACGCACCCAGTGTGTTTCCCCAGCTCCAGGTCCCAGACTTGAACCTCACACTTGACCATGTGGGATCCAGCTGCCTCAACCACCTGCCACCCTCTCATCATTTCCGGTTTCCTTGGGGACTGAAGGCCAGCAGGTCAGCTGCTCCAGGGCAGTGACTTCATTACTTCCTCTGTTGGCAGCTCAGGAAAGTGCCTGCCGGAGACCCAGGCTCGGCCCTGGCTGCAGACAGTGTCCATCTGCCTGCCTTGCCCCGAAGGCTGCTGAGAGCGAGAGGCCCGTGCCCCAAGGGGCAGTAGCATGTGTTTTTCTCATTTCCAGAGGTCAGGTGTGCTTGCCGGAGGGAGGAAAGGAGAGGGACGTCCCTGAGGGGCCGTGGTCATGCCTGAGTCCTCTCTGTGCCATTCTTCCCCTGGTCGGGTCTCAGCACGCACACACGTGCACCCGTTGTGTGCTGCAAACCCCAGGGCCAGGGTTCACGTCACAGCTGACCACGCACAGGTGTACTGGTACCAGGCCAGTCGGTGTTTGCTCTTATATACAATGGTTTCTTTATTTTAACTTAGAAAAATTTTTGCCAAAGGGCACATGGCACGTGAGCTCGCAGAGAGACAGAGAGAGACAGAAACAAAAATGGAGAAATCACCCCCCGGGGGATGGCCATGCCGTAGTCTCTTCTCCATTCTCAGGATTTTGGGCATGCACGCATACACGCCCAGCGTGAGTTGCAAGCCCCCGGGTCAGGGACTTGAACTGCAGTCAACCGTACGGGATCCAGCGACGCAAGCCATCCACCCTCTGCTGGGTCCTGTATGACATTATTTCTAAGGGCTTGCTTGTGTGTGAGAAATAAATGGGAGTTTAGAAGTCGCAAGGCCAGGACTCGGTCCGGGAGGGCGTAGCTGCTGCTGGTGCTTGGTCCCAGCGGGCGCCCCGTGCGTCAGCCGCCGCCTCCCTTGTCCTGCAGCTTGGCGTCGGCCAGTTTCCTTCCCAAGTACTTCAGCTCCAAGTGGAGTTTTTCCAAGTTCCAGGTCCCCTCCGGCTCTCCGTGCATCTGTGCCTTCGGAACCGAGCCGAACGCCGTCATCGGTGAGTGTCCCCGTGGGAGGCCCCCAGCCCTCCTGTCCTGGCCCTCCACTCCAGGGTTTCCACAGGAGCCAGTGGGACGGCTTTGATTTTGTTGCTCCGTTTGGCCAGAGGGTCCTTGTGCTCCTGGGGGTGGGCGGTCACTCTGTGACCCCTTCTTTGTCCCTCGCTCACGTTTGGGGCATGGAAATAGCCGGCGTGTCTCTCGAGCTGCCGGGCGTGGGGCTGCACGGTTGGCCACGTGGGGTCCAGCTGTTGTTCGTTTCTTCCGTGAGCGAGACGTGCCCCACGGGGTTTTTATGCCCAGATCTTCGCCAACCCCGGGGCCCTGGGGTACATGCCTGCCCTGTCAACTCAGGACGTCTCAGGACGTGAACCCAGGTTGGCCCCATGGAGCAGATGTCAGCCAGGTCCACTGGCCAGCCTGGAAGGCGCTGAACACTCCGGTCCTATAGCCAGTGCGCGTTCGACACGCCCGGAGCGCTAGGGCTGTCGGCCTGGGTCTCGCGCCCAGGAAGGAAGCGGGGCCCTTGGGCACCTCACGAAGGGGCTCGTGGTTCCAGGCCGCTGCCTTGGCCGTGGGGTAAGAGGCGCACGCTGATGGTCTCCTTGTGCCCTAGCGATCTGTGCGGACGGCAGCTACTACAAGTTCCTCTTCAGCCCCAAGGGGGAGTGCATCCGGGACGTGTATGCGCAGTTCCTGGAGGTGACCGACGACGCGCTGTGAGTCCCGCCGGCGACGCAGCCCATGCCCACGCCCCTTGGACTCCTGGGCCGCCAGCTTCTGCGGCCTCGTGGGTGATGGGCCGGAGGGACCACGGGGACCTTGGTCTCACAGCCCTAGGTGGCCGTCCGCTTTCCTAAGAAAGGCCTCCCGCCCCTGCTGTTGGAGGAAGGGCACCGCCGGGCGGCTCATGGCCACTGTGACTCCTTCCACGCCACGCGATGTCCTCCACAGACGGGCTCCGCTCCCCAGGGTGGGCTGGGGGGGCCACAGCTGGGAGTGTTCTGCAGCAGGGCTCATCCGTCATTGTCGCTGAGCCTGGACAGGTGAGCAGGCGCGACTTCTTAACGAGGAGGGGGGCGTGCCTGAGCCGAGCGCCAGCCGGCTGTCCTGGAGGGAGGGGCATCTCTCCCCGAGCGGGACAGCGTCCTGTTACTGGGACACAGTGCGGTCTCGGCCTGGGTGAGCCCAGTCTCGCCTTCTCCACGCCTGTCCACGTGGAGCCACTGGACCACCCTAAGCAGACGGCTTTGCCCCACTGGCCACGGCGGGGCAGGTTGGAGCGCGTTTCCCGCTACGTGTGGGGACGGAGTACTGCACAGACGGGGAATTAGTCAGGTGGGAAAGCAGCTCGCCCTCAGGGAGGGTGCCCGCAGTGTGGTGGCCGGCACCCCTCAGCACGGCTGCCCGCCCCGCGCCGCCCGTCTCTCCAGTGCTTAGGGGAACAGCTACACACTAACGTTTTGGGGTGAAAGAGCGCTTTTTCCTCACTTCTGGTTAGGAGAGCTGGTCACGCACTCACGTCGTCAGTGCTGCTGGGACACGCGCTTCCTTTTCCTAACTCCCTGCTAAGGACGCTGGTTTTACGGTTTTCATTCCTGGTTGCAAATGTCGGAAACCTGCCCGGCAGCGAGTCCTCAGCGCTGCTGTTCCTTTACGTCACGTGATCGGTTCGCTTTGTCCCGCTCTATGTGAAGTACGCATGTTACTTTTACGTGTATTTAATCATGAAGTTTAATTTTGCACATTTATTTGTAATGTTTCTTTTAAATAAAAGTGACTAATTTTGTCGTACTCTGTACCTGTGAAGGGAAGCAGAGCCCCACATCAGGAAGCCACCTGTCCTGCATCGAGTCTGGCTGGGCAGGGGCCTCGGGAACACCCCGTAGGGCCACGGTGTGCCAGAGCCGCGTGTCCTAGCACGGGGCCCTGTGGAAGGGACACGGCTGTTGGCAGAGGCGGGTGTGGCCTAGGAGATCGAGGTCCTGCCTGGACGGCAGAGCAAGACGTGTGTTGGAGCCCACAGGGTGGCTGCGGGGCAGGCGCCATCCCTCTGTCTGAGCTGGCATCGCCCAGGTTTAGCAGGTGCCTGAGGTCTCACCGTAGGTTAGTCACCAGCTGGCACCTTCAGTACCATGTGTTCATCATGGGAGGTCTCGGACGTCAACCCAGGGTGAGGCAACTGGGAAGACACACGGGGAGGTGACCTAGCCACAGGGCACAGGTGGAGAGGCCATCCCTACACAACACGGGGAGGTGACCTAGCCACGGGGCACAGGTGGAGAGGCCATCCCTACACAACATGGCCTTGAGTCCTTTCATTTCAAAAAAGAATATTTTTTATTTATTTTAATTTGACCGGTTAGGGACAGAGCAAGAGAGAGCGAGAGAGACGGAAAGTGAGAACGCAAGCCATCAGCTCCAGGACTCGAACTGTATATAGAAGTAAACATGAGGTTGGGGCCAACAGGTGGCTTGGTGGTTAAGGGTGCTGGACTCCCACATGGCCGACTGCGGTTCAAGTCCTGGACCTGGCGGCTTTTTCTCTCTCTCTCTCACTCTCTCCCTGTCCGGTCAAATTGAAATAAACAAGTAAAGTTAAATAAAATAATTTTAAAAAGAATAAAAAAGAAGTGAACATGATGTGGGAGCAGCAGTTGGCGTAATGGCTGTGTCGCTGGACTCCCACGTAGTCTACCGCGGTTCAAGGCCCGGACTTGGTGGCTTAAACTCACGCCGGGTGCATGTGCGTGCGTGCCCAGGATCCCCAGAGGAGAATGGAGAAGAGATTGCGGCGTGGCCATGCTCCCGGGGGGTGATTTCTTGCATTCTGTCTCTCTCTGTCTTTGTCTTTCTAGTGAGTGCAACACACCCCATAGCAAAAATCTCTTCCCCAAAAGAAGTCAACATGAGGACGTGGCCCAGGTGGTGCGAGCCAGCCCAGCCCATGGGGCAGCGCTGCAGGCGTGAGGAGGAACTGGACGTGCGGCTGGCGGCGTCACACCTGGCCCTGGTCACCCTGCCGGTCAGGCTCTGGAGTCACCTGTGACGTGGCCGTCAGCGTGGTCCACTTAGCAGAACAGTGGTCCCTCCTCAGGTGCTGCCCAGGGACTGCCAGGCGGAGGGCTGTCCCACACGCGCTGCCACCGAGCAGCCTGGCAGCGGCTGGGCGGCTCCTCCGGATGGACTGCTGAGTGGAAGCATCCCTTAGAGGAGACGAGGCCACCACGACACAGGGCCTAGAATGTGGCGGCACAGGGGCCGGATGGAGGGCCTTCCATGGGATTCTGGAAGCCCCTGCTTGCTGCCTCGTGTCTGTGGTTCCTGTGGGGGACGGCACCTGCCCAGCAGGCAGCAGGCGTGGGCAGCCTGGCACCTCTGCTGGGGCCAGTAGCCCTCTGTCTGCCCCGCGACCCTGTGCTCTCGGCCTTGCTCAGCATCTCCTGCAGGCAGTGGACACCCTGGCCCACTCCCTTCCTCCTCTGCTTTTGGGCACTGGCGGCTGGGGCCCGCCGTGGGCGCCACGGCTGCAGCCTGCCGTGGGCGCCACACCCGCGGGCGGGCCGAGCTACACCAGGGGTCGCAGCTTCCAAAACGGGAGGCGCTAAAGAAGGTGGTTTTCCTTTCCACTGACGGCACCTGGACCCCGCGCTCGGCCCTCCCCCAGGTCGTTCGGTGAGAGTCGGTCAGCGAGGCGTGTGGGGCCGATGTCTATGTCATGGGTCACACGTAAGGGCACGTCGTCCTGTTCGTACAAACTTCGTTAAGTGCCAGGGAGCCACAGGACACGCTACGCAGTGGGACCTGGTGCCACCCCGTCTGCTCACTCGGGACGCTGCTGCAGCTCGGGGACAGCGTTCCGTGGACAGGGCTCCCTGCGCTGGAGAAAGTCGGTTCGAGCAGTCAGTGAGCAGGTAGGTGACTGCAGTGCTGAGGTTTCTGCTTTTTGTTTAATTATTTTAATGATTGTTTATGCATTTAATTCTATACATCATTTAGGTTTTAAAGAGACTTGACCCAGCGTGATATACACCTCAGTCCAGCCCAGTTGAAAACACACACACGCCTTCATCAACTGAGGTTTCTTTCTGACAAGGATGTTACCACGTACGTTATTTTCAATAGAGAATTTTACTTTTTTATTTTATTTTTTTAAGGAGGGCTTTTTTGCTATGGTGTGTGCTCAACCCTAGAGGTGACCACGTCTTCTCCATTCTCCTCTCGGGATCTTGAGCATGCACACACACCTGGCATAAGTTTGTTTTATAATTAAGTTATTCTTTGTTTTGTTTATTTATTTTAATTTGACCACAGAGGGATAAAGTGAGAGAAAGTGAGAAAACCTCCAGGTCCGGGACTCAAACCATGGTCAGCCATGTAGGAGTCCAGTGCCCTAATCAGCATGCCACCTGCCGGCCCCAGCCTGGCATGTTTTAAGTCACCGGGTCTGGGACTTGAACCGTGGTCAACTACATGGGAGTCCGGTGACATAACCATTATGCCATCTGGTGGGGGCAGGGTGATTTTTTTTTTTTTAAAGAATTACCTTATTTAACTTTATTTTTATTTTAATTTGACTAGAGAGAGACCAAACAAGAGAGGAAAGTGAGGAAGGTCTGAGACTCAGACCATGGTCGGCCATATGGGAGTCCGGTGCCCTTAACTGCCAGCCCTGAGAGTCTTTTTATTAAAGAGAGATTTTTTTTTTTTGCTATAGGGTATATGCACTCTTTGGAAAGATAGAAGCAGAAAGAGAAATTGCCCCCTGTGGGGATGGCCAAACCTCAATCCTCCTCCATTCTTCTCTCAGGATTTTGGGCATGCACATGCGCCTGGTGTGAGTTTGAAGCCGCTGGGTCTGGGACTCGAGCCAGAGTCCACTGTCCGAGTTCAGCGACGACTATTAGGCCATCCCCACCTTTGGGTCTCGGTGTCTCCCACTGCCCTCCGGCCTGTCTCCGGCCCTCCGTCTGCCGGAGGATGCAGACATGCGGTGTGTCCGGTGGGTGTGCAGCTCGTGCCTTGCAGTCTGGCTTACCTCACTCCGCACTCAGTCTCCCATATTCAGCCACTTTGAGTCGACCACAGTGTTGTCCCTGTGGCTGAGAACATTCCAGCGTCCAAGCGCCTCGACCTGTCAGCCCTTGGGCGCCCGACTCATGTCTTCATGGTTGGAAATGGACTGTGATCAACGCGAAGTGCGTGTCCTTCCGACCACGTGCTTTCCTGTCCTCCGGGGAAGTGGGTCACGTGGAGGGGTCTCCGTGTTGTCCTCCACACTGGCCGTACCAACCCTCACGCCCACCAGCTGTGTGGGAGGCTCCCTTTGCCGTGTTGCCAGCTCCCCTCCTCTCGTTTCGGTCATAGCCATTCTGACAGGTTAGGTGGCACCATCGCAGTGCTGTTTTGTTATTTTTTAAGAATTATTTTTTCATTCCATTCGTTGTTATTCTTAAATTTTGACCAGAGACAGAGACAGAAAGAGAGACAGGGAAAGTGGGAAAGCAAGCCACCAGGTCCAGGACTCGAACCGTGGTCAGTCATGTGGGAGTGTCCAGTGCTTTTATCCGGAGGGGGTGTGGTCACATTGCAGCCCCTGATCTTTCGTTTCTGCACCCCATGGGGATCTGGGATGCACGCACACACATGCCCAGTGTGCTTTACGCTGCCGGGTCCAGGATTTGAACATTAGTTGGCCTGTGGGACGCAGCTCTCTAACCCGTAGACTACGGGTCTGGCCTCTCTGAATTATTTTAACTTGCTTATATCTCTGCCAGGTTTTTCCCAATTGCCAGAGGGAGGGATGGCTATTTACACGTTCATTTATTTTAACTTAACCAGAGAGAGACAGAAGGAGAGTGAGAAAACAAGCCACCAAATCCGGAACTCAAACTGTGGTCAGCCATGTGGGAGTATCCACCACCTTAACCACCACACCACCTGCCCCCCCCCAATTTCTAATTTAAAAAAAAATTCTCTCTGCATTGCTATTTCCTAGTGGTTGAAACATGGCTCTTGCCTTTTTAAAAAAATAATTATAATTAACTTTATTTATTTGAGTGTGTGTTTGCTTATTGAGCTCATCTGTAGTTCTTACCACCTCTTCAAGCAGAGTACAATTTGGGCCACTTCCACTCATAAAAGCCTCACTGAGTTACTTTTCCCATGGCTTTCAACATACTCAAGTTGGCTTAGAATTATGTCCCTATAAACACTTTTTTTTTGAAAAACGAGACCTGTGGTGAATTCCTCCCTCAAGCTCCTTCAGACTAATCTATTTCTTTTTTTTTTTCCATTTTCCAACTTTCATTTATATATTTTTATTATTATATATTAAATCGCTATACATCATTTAGATTGTCAAGCGACTTTGCCCAGCATGATATGCGCCTCCATCCAGCCCAGCTGCGACCACCACACACATCCTCGTCAGCAGATGATAAACCCTGTCTGTGTCCCTCAAGTGTCTTAGCTCCATTTCCCTCCCAGATTTCCCCCCCTCCCACACACTTTCCACTTTGTCTCTGGTGGCCGTTACAATTATTTTGGGGGGGAAAGGTTTTTTTTTTTCTTTTTTTTTTTGCTATAGGGTACGTGCGCTTGTCAGAAAGACAGAGAGAAAGCGACAGAAAACGAGAAATCACCCCCCAGGGGGGATGGCCATGCTACAATCCCTTCTCCTCCATTCTTGTCTCAGGATCTTGGGCACGCATACACACGCGCCCGGTGTGAGTTTAAGCCACCGGGTCTGGGACTCAAACCACGGTCGACTACATGGGAGTCCAGTACATAGCCATTACGGTAACTGCTGGTCCCCATTACAATTTTTAATACTTTCATGTTCTCCAGTCTTTCAGTCTCTAGCATAGAGTGCGGACAGTCGGTGTATGTTAAATGGAGACATACAATGTCTCTCTTTCATAGCCTGACTTCCTTCACTCAACAACAAATCTTCCATATTCATCCACTTTCTATCAGATTCCAGGGCCTTGTTTTTTATGGCTGAATAGTATTCCATGGAGTATATGTGCCACACTTTTTCCATCCATTCATCTGTTTGTGGACATTTGGGTTGGCTCCATGCCTTAGGAATCGTGAATAAGGCTGCGATGAATATAGTTGTGCAAGTGCTTTTCCGACGGAGCGCTCTCCTGTCCTCTGGGTGGATCCCCAGGAGTGGAATTGCTGGATCATGTGGCAGTTCTATTTGAAGGTCTTTGAGGAACCTCCACGTTGTTCTCCACAGTGGCCGGACCAATTTACATTCCCACCAACAGTGTAGGAGTGTTCCCCTTTCACCACATCCCCTCCAGCACTTACCTTTATATTTTATTTTATTTTTTTCATATCTTCGCCATTCTGACTGGGGTTAGGTGGTATCTCATTGTGGTTTTCATCTGCATCTCCCTTATGATGAAGGATGTTGAACATTTTTTCATATGCTTTTTGGCTGTTCTTATGTCTAGCTTAGGGCATTGTTCAGCTCATTTTCCCATCTTTTAATTGGGTTAATCATTTTCTTCCAGGTAAGCTGCTTGAGTTCCCTGTGTATTCTGGTTGTCAGTCCCTTACCAGAGGCACAGTTAACAAGAATTCTCTCCAACTCCGAGGGTTGTCAAGTCACACTAATTAGTGTCCTTTGCTGTGCAGAAACTCCTTAATCTGATGTAATCCCACCGTCTGTTTGGGGGATTACTGCCTGTGCTTTGGGGGTCTTGTTTAAGAAGTCTTTGCCTACCCCAATGTCTCCGAGTTTCCCCAGTGTTTTCTACCAGTAGTTTTATAGTTTGTAGTCTAAGGTTTAGATCTTTGATCCACTTTGAGTTGATTTTTGTTAATGGCGACAGATAGGAGTTCAAATTCCTTTTTCTGCAGGTGGATACCCAGTTTTTCCAACACCATTCACTGAACAGGTTTCCCTTTTCCCAGTGGATTGACTGGTACCCTATGTCAAAGACGAGTTGGCTGTATCTGTTGGGGTTTATTTCTGGAGTCTCTACTCTGTTCCATTGATCCTCATGTGTGTTTTTGTGCCAGTATCATGCTGTTTTGATGATCACAGCTTTGTAATATATTTTGGGGTCAGGGAGAGAGATGCCACCTACTCCAGTCTGGTTGCACAGGATGGCTTTAGCAAAATGAAGTCTTTTATAGTTCCAGACAAATTCTATGTCTTTTCTAGATCTGTGAAGAATGTCTTTTATAATTTTATCCAGGATTGCATTAAACACGTAGATTAATTTGGGTAGGATGGCCATTTTTATTATATGATTCCTGGATTAGCAGAATCAGCCTAGCCTATTTATTTATTTACTTTATCTAGGCAAGGACTTTAATGAATCAAACACCACTACTGGCAATATTAAAAAAGTGTAATACATACAAAACCATCATTTGGTGCCAAGAGAAAGTTATACTGGTGACAGTATACATCCTCTGACTTCCAAGTGGCTGACATATGACTTCCACCCCACTGAGACTCTGGGGAACACGCTTCTCTCCCAGTAGGAAGGCCCCTTTCCCTGAGTCAAGTACAGAAGGAGAGAAGAGTGTGTCCCAAAGGAAGGTGAGATTGTGGACCCCTTTCAGAAACAAGTGGGGGCCCTTGTGCCAGGGCTCAGAACTTTAGGGGAGTGACGGGCCAGCACTAGGGCTGCTCTGTCACGGTGCTTGTCGAAGCTCAGCTGCACTGCGGCCTCCATGGCCAGGATCTTGGCGGCGCTGTCCCAGTACAGATGCTGCTTCTCGGCCATGCGTTGCTTGCTGGGCGTCTGGGCTGGGGGCTCGACTGACCGGTGGGGGTTGTACAGGTCGTGGTTGGGTTCTCGTGGTCGTCCAGGCGCACGCACTGTCTCCCCAGCTGCCGCTCTGTGCCTCTCGGTTTCTGCAAAGCACTGGCAGAGCGCTCGGTGATTTGTACGTTGCTCAGGTCACACTCCACCTCCTCGCCCGACGCCCTCTGCCTCTCCTCCTCTGGGCAGAGCTTGGTCCACTGTGGGTGTCTGGGTCTTGCTGCTGCCGTACACCTGCTGCCCGGACCTCCTGGAAACCCAAGTAGCGCCGGGAGGAGAAAGACTCCGCTGCCTTCCTGGCCCCTGGTGGCCTCGCACCCACGCCATCGCTTGCTGGTAATCGTGCCAGGACCTCGCATGGGCTGGATGAGACGGTCACGCGTGGGGAGCTGTCAACGTTGACGCCTCTGCTGCCATCACTGACTGCCAAGGCCGAGTGGGCGCGCAGGTTGCAGGTCCTGGGCCGCGGGCGAGCGGGGCCTGTTTCTCTTCAGCCTGACCTCTCTCTAAAGGGCCAAGACCAGAACATGCAGAATGGGTAACAGCGCCTGGGAAGTTTGTTTTTTTTTGGAGAGGTTTTCGCCACAGGGCACGTGTGGCGAAAACCTCCCCCCGGGGGGGATGGCCACGCCGCAATCCCTTCTCCTTTCTCGGGATCTTGGGCACGCACGCACATGCACACGCACCCAGGGTGAATTTTAAGCCAGGACGCGAACCATACATAGGAGTCCAGCAACACAGCCATTATGCTAACTGCTGGTCCCAGAAGTTTTTGTTTTTTAACTTTATTATTATTGTTATTTTCCAGTTTGATCAGTGAGAGAGAGAGAGAAAAAGTGAGGAAACAAGCCACCAGACTCGGCCCAGGACACAACCGTGGGAGTCCAGTGCCTTTAACCACCATGCCACCTGCCAGCCCCAGTATGGGAAGTTTAAAAAGTAGATCTTAGGAGATGAAACTGAAAAGCATTTTAACAAATAAGTTTTTTTTTTTTTTTTTGGTAGAGGTTTTTGCTATAGGGCGCATGTGCTCACCAGACAGAGAGACAGAGAAATCACTCCCCAGGGGGAATGGCCACACCGCAGTCCCTTCTCCTCCACTCTCCTCTCGGGATCTTGGGCACTCATGCACACGCGCCCGGCGTGAGTTTAAGCCACCGGGTCCAGGACTCGAACTGCGGTCAACTACGTGGGAGTCCAGTGGCATAGCCATTATGCCAACTACTGGTCCCAACAAATAAGTCTTTTAAACATCAAGGTATATTTCAGAACACCTCAACGACAAAAGATTTGGTCTACCAAGAAATCCGGCTTGGACAGCCAAAGACACTTTTTTTTTTGAGAGGGTTTTGCTAATAGGGTGCGTGTGCTCGCCAGAAAGACAGAGGAGAAAGTGAGAAATCACCCCCCAGGGGGGATGGCCATGCCACAATTTCTTCTCCTCCTTTCTCCTCTCGGGATCTTGGGCACGCATGCACACGCACCCAGCGTGAGTTTAAGCCACCGGGTCCAGGACTTGAACCGCGGTCGACTACGTGGGAGTCCAGCAACACAGCCATTATGCCAACTGCTGGTCCTAGCTAAACATTTCTTTAGCCCACAAAGTTAACATTAGGGTATTACACCTTACAGCACACATTATTGCCTTGTTCTGTTAAAAGAGGCTGACGTGA